CCCCCCCCCGCAGGCACACAAGCACACTAGAAACGCCATGTCGGACGGTGTGAGCGTTTTGGAGATTTTGATTACAGACAGCCTGGACGACCGTGATGAAGATTTCGAACCTGGAAGCGACTCAAGTGGAACTTCTGGCTGCGATTGCTAAGAGCCTATGTGCTGTATATTTTCTTCTTCGCTAATGACCAGTGTCTAATTAGAGTTTTGTACCATGTTATATACAGATAATACGCCTTCCCGAAAGAAAAAAAAAGGTTAGTGGTTGCTGAATTGAATCAGTCGTGCGATTAATATCTAACTTGCTATCAAAATGATTCTGCAGTTCCTACTGGGCCACAAACTCCGGCGAGGATGACAATCAAGCGCAGAAAGCATCGACCGCGGCGCGCAAAAAGACCGGAAAAACGTAGGCGACGCGGATCCATGGTTGGGAGCGATGGACTCGGCGGTAAGGAGAGCGAGGGCAGCGTCGCAGATACTTTGTCGTTGCCGTCCACCGACGACGAACCAGGACATACGGAAGAAGTCGATGAGGTTGACTTTATGGACCCGACGACAGACCGCACTCCCCGAATTAGACGTACCGAGTCCTATCCCGACCGCGTCGCGATGGAGACCTCTCGTGTCGGCATGGTGAACAAAATTTCCCCGACGCGGGAGCTCATAGTCTCATCTTGGCGTGAGTTTAGTAGTACTTTGGAGAAGTATTGCTCCGATTATTACCTGCTATTTAGAGCACGAGATACTCGCACCGTGAAAAACACAACACGTGGGTAAAATTATTTAATTCATTTTAACTTCACACTAACAATTTGATTTTATTTGTAGATTGAGTGATCTACAGATTCCTACCAAGATGAAGTACAGTTACAAGGTGTTTCGCTGCACTCACGGTTGTTCGTAGAAGTCCCGAAGCAAAGGGCAACGCAATACTCCAAGTCGATACACAGGATGCAAGGCGCGTTTTACGGTTACAGCGAGAAATTTGGCTGATGAAGAAGGACGAGATGAATGGAAAATTGTTCTGCGAAATTGGGTAAGTTATAATAGCGTTAGTGAAGTTGCTGGTGTTAAACTAGCAATTATTTTGTTGTGTAGTCCTGGACGCACAATCACCGCACGAATGCAACAAATTGCACCAGCTACTTCGGGGCTGGATCCATTCCCGAAAAAAGTCTGGTGTTTGATCAGGTTGGAGTTCTCGCCGATACCAACACAGAATCAAACCAGATTCAGCAGTTCCTATCAGGGGCATTGGATTGCCACGTGACGCCACAACAAGCACGCAACATTTTTCGCAAGGTGCTCAAGAGTACGCCAGCGGATAAACAGCTTTCAAGAATGCTGGATACTCTCGCCACGTTTGCTGATCACCGCGTACTGGTCATTCGAGACCAGAATGATGTTACCAGCGGTGTTGTGATCCAGACTGTAATTCAACGACTAGTCTTCGAGCGTTGGGGAGAGTCGCTTTGTATGGACTGAACGTACGGAACCAACAACCTGGGGTTTCACCTTGGTAAGTATTATTATTTTACTGTGATGCAGCAACCTTAACTAAGAAGCAGCACCCTTAACTACTTTGAAATTCTATTTGTACAGGTAGTCTGCTAGCTACAAGTGCAACAGGCCGAGGTGTACCTGTTTAGGATTTCATCGCTCTCGACGAAAGGAAGAGGACAATGGAGGCGATTTTGGAATTATTTTAAGAAGCACAACAGTCAGTGGAAAGATATCGAGACGTTCGTAGTTGACAAAGATTTTAAGGCGTGGAAAGTGCTGGATAAATGTTTTCCTCTAGCGACGGTCTTGTTGTGTCAGTTTCACACTATGGCGAACTGGAAAAAGGTAATCAAGCGAGTCAAATTCAAACTCGAAGGGACTCAGAGGGACGAGGTGGAGTATTCAGTGAAGCAATTGATGTACAGCACGACTACAGAGGCGTTCAACAGAGCGAGGGACGGATTGGAAAAATTTTGCAGTGGAGATTGCCCTAATACCTGCCCGAAATCATGTCCAGAAATTTTTCAGTATTTTCAAGATAATTGAGAGTGGTGCAGTGAAATGTGGTCTAACCATGGGCGTGGCAACTACTTTACCACCAATAATATAACGACGAACCGGATCGAGACAAACTGGAACCAGTTAAAGCGTCTTCTCGGGAGAAAAACGAGAATCGATAGAACTATAGCTGGATTGCTACAAAATCAGGTCAATATTGTTAATCACCTATTGACTTCACTACGCAAGTTCTCCTGTCAGTCGCGACGTCCGGACTCTATCCCTCCATTTTTGCAACTTGTTGCTGCGGAGCTTTCAAATGATGCCCTCGCGAAGGTTTCGTGGCAGTGAGACTTGTTCATGGTGAATAAGGGTGAGGCAAAGCGCGTCCGTGTAGGCCCTACACAGTCCGAGTGGAAAGTATTTCTGTCTGGTCAAGATTTGTGCGTCGATGACTTGATGTGGTCATGCAGCTGCCTATTTTACAAGAGCCGTCGGCTGCCATGCCAACATGTTTATGGTGGTGGCTTGTAAAGCCCACCGATTCAAAATGCTACCTACTTCTACAGTGCCAAGTCGGTGGAGCATGAGAAAAACTGAAGAGATTTACGACTCTTTGGAGAGAGGCCTGGAACCGCTTCGACAAGTTATCAACATGGTAAAAACCCGGTCAAGTCGAGTAATGGCGCCTCAAGCTGCCGCACCATTAGCAATTGCTTCCGCAGGTACATCTCGTATTGGCAAGGCTTCTGTGGAGTACGTACGTCTCCAGAGAGAGGAACAATCAAGTATGGTCGTGCTGTCTAATGGTGAAAAATACGCAAGGGCTCAATCTCTTTTTGAACCAGTTATTGAGAAACTTAGTGGCCTATCTACCGTGGAGTTTTACGAGCAGATGAGCAAGTGGAAGAGCGTAGTCGACAGCGAGCAAGGAAATACTACTGCTGCAAATTCGTCTACGGACGGAGACTCGACTGCGATTAAGCCTACCAAAAGTGACTCGGACAGCTTCTTTGATCAGCTTGATTACGCTGATGTGATGGCTGAAATGGAGGCAGATCAAGAGTTGGCTATGAAAGCCATCTCAATGACTGATCTTGTTCGTGAGCGCAATTTAGGGCGCAAGACGATGGAAACTCAGAAACTGCAGAATCTCCTTCATTCTCCGAAAGCGATGAATGTCAGTCAACGCAAGTGTCGAAACGAAGTGATAAGGAGGAGGAGGGTTCATTGGTGAAACCTGCTGAAAAGAACAAGGCAAGTTCACAACAACAAAAAATTGCAAACAGCTACAGCTCATGGTGAGTCTCTCGATGCCCCAAGTGAGTCTTTGAAAACACATGATATTGAACTTCTGAACCTACCAGCTCCGAAACGCAGGATTCGAAAGAAGACTAAACAAGGGCGGATAACTCCACAACCCAAGTTTGCAGCTGTTTCGGTCTCTTCAGATGTCACCACGACGCTGACACAAATTATTCAATGGGCAAGTTACCACCCAAATGTGAAGAAGGTCTCTAATGTTTTAGATCAGTACCCAGTCCGCATGACGGACAAATGTATACAAGCGCGTCCTGTAACATGCCTAGTTGCCGAGGAAGGTAGTGAAGCAAATTCCAGCGACCACGCGTTCGTCATCCCTGAAACGCTGTTGAAAAAGGCAGATGCAGCATTGCTGCAAAAGAAGGAGTTGCTGGAAAGGGAAGAGAAATCCGCACCGTGGGGACTGCACGTGTCGTTCGGATCCAAAAACCTCGTTCTGCACAGGTACTTGGATATTGCGTTTATTAAGAGTGCTCTTAGAGAAATAGAGAGTAAGTATGCCGCAACTTTCATTTATTAACTTACGGTTTGTAATGCATTTTACAGGTATTTCCTGAACAAATGAAGCAGTTCTACGCACTCAAAGCAAGAGCGAGAAGCTATATTGAAGTCACCAAGTGGCTGAAGCAGGAGTAGCGCTATGTTCAAGCCCTCCCTGTTGAACATTTTTCAGTGGATACGAAAACAACTGGAGTACTGCATTCTGAAGCTGCTAAGGTGCATGAAGCGCTAGCGAATGATGTACTAACAAAGTATTCTGGCCTTTCTCTCATGACGGTGCTGAAGACGAAGTCGGGGTCTTCTTTCGTTAAGTTTAGTGATATTGCTGGTGGAATTTTATCGTGAGGTGATGGTGAACGATTCTATTATTGACATGGACATAAAGAGGATTGCAGACAGTGTGAAAGGGTGTGTGGCGTTATCGTCACTGATGATATGGCCTTCTGCATTGAAGCAGTGGCTCTCTGAGACGGCATTTATCATTCTACCGCTACACTTAAGCAGAATTCATTGGGGTGTTATTATCGTGGAGGTAGCATTTCCTACGACATGGATTGTGAACTTTTATGAGCCCCTGCACCAGCAGGGCTATAAAAAAGAAATCAAAAAGGTGTGGACGGAGAAGTTGCTACCATTTTTGGAGAATTCGCGCGCTGAAAGTGGAGCAAAGTAGCTATTCCCTCAGGAAATTGTTAAGAAGTGAATTAACGAGCCAACTCAGCCCGATGGACAAGCTGCGGTCTTATGGTTTTGGGAATGGTCTACGCGTTCGTGCGCAATGCGCACAGATTCAAACGTCATCGTATCACTGAAGCGTACATGCGCGTGATGCGATTGAAACTCACGTGGGTATTACTGTGTACAACAAAGCGCGTTCAGCCAAACGAGGATAATACAACACAAATGATGAAGACGGATGAAGAGGTTAGCAAGCTTCTTAAGTAGCAGTGAGCTGGCGAGCCACATGTAGCGGTATATGAAGAATATGTCAATTAAAAAATAAAAAGAAACTGCATAATGAATCAGCAATGTTTTTCAAACATAGCAGAAATACGGATTTACCTTGTTACTGCAGCAGTATTGCATCACCGTCTTCACGATCCACGTTGTAGAATCTTGACTATTTGCCCCAGTAACACCCCGGATGAAAAAGTGTATCCGCTGCTCCCTGGAGTCTCTCCGATGCTTGCAGTAAGCTCGTTAATAGCTTTAGCTTCGCGTAGAAGTATTGCCTCCAGCTCCTCCCGAGCGTACTGCAGGTCGTTAATTGTTTCGGCCATCATGTCCATCTTGGCTTGAAGCACTTGCAGCGCGTTGGCTCTGGAACGTAGGAACTCCCGCGCCAAGACTTGGTAATCCATGGCAGATGTTGATTTTGAATCGCTCTTTGTCTGTGGAAGATTCAAGCAATCAAATTTGAGATCTAGTAAAATTGTCAGTAGCGACTTTATTTTCGTAAAACTTCGCCTCTGAGTGTTATTTTCGTGGTAATTTATTCTGGCTAATATGGGCGCTATTCATAGTTAATGGCGCACTAACGTCATAAGGGTGCTTGTAGGCTGTCGTGTTGTTGTAATCTTAGGGTGCTGTAACGCCATTCCTTTTAGGCCCTGGTCTAAGTAGTTCTTTACTGAGTTTAGTAACAGGGGACGGGGTCAATCCAAAACGAATTATGGTCAAACTAGGTTAGACTGTACTGAGTACTGGCACGAATTGGCCTGGTCAGAACAAATTCTGAGAAGTAAGATTTTGCGGCTGTGTAGATGAAGCCGAAGCAGATACGCAGAGACTTCATTGTTAAAACTACCTTCTCTACAACCTGACAAGAACGACCATGGAAGCCTTCGCATCGTGCTCTACTTCTACGCCAA